AAAATTTGGTATATAGATGTAAGCATTTTTCATCTGAAAACGGTGCGCGCAAGAAATTGGAAGTGTGAAGTTAGCTATAACTTTTTTTTATTTTTTGAGAACTAATGAACATATTGGGGAAGAATCGAGAACTAACTGTTTGCTGCAGTGAGGGTATAATGGTATAACTGAAGTGAATAATTTTGTACTTTTCCAAAAAAGTTATCAAATTCTGACAAAAAAGTAGAAGAGAACAGAAAAAACGGTCAAATGGTTCAAATCATAGCGTTAGAACAAACAAATTTTTATAAACTATACAGTTGTAATATTTATTTCATACAGACTAATTTACAGTTTCAAAAAATATACAATAAATATAAATATCACAGGTACATTCAAAACATAACCTAATTTAAATTTACATATGATATGGCATCATAGTCCTTAATAGTTCAATAAGTGAACAATTACACGAGCTACTTTTTCTCCCAACAACTCTGCTCAACAACATCATAATGCAAATTTAAACCAAACTTTGTACTGTATTTATAGCTTCATTTTTACGGTAAACATTTGTATCAGTTAAGACAAAGAGTACAAAAATAAAATCCTACAAGCAGAAAAAAAAACTTATCCATCAAAGGTTCTAAAAGGACAGAAACTCTACAAGGTAGAAAGAACAATGCTATACAGCAACAACAATGACAATGTTCCTCACAGAGTAGTGAAGGCGTAGTTGGTGACAAGTGTGACAGTGATGGTATGTCCAGAGACCATGGGAGTGACTATGTATGTCTGCATCTTAGGTTTGCTAGGCTCCTGTATGATCAGAGGTATTGAGGCGTTGTCTTGTCCGAGGGTCCTCACAGAGTAGCGAAGGCGTAGTTTGTGACAGGTGTGACTGTGATGGTATGTCCAGAGACCATGGGAGTGACTATGTATGTCTGCATCTTAGGTTTGCTAGGCTCCTGTAAGATCAGAGGTATTGAGGCGTTGTCTTGTCCGAGGGTCCTCACAGAGTAGTGAAGGCGTAGTTTGTGACAGGTGTGACTGTGATGGTATGTCTAGAGACCATGGGAGTGACTATGTATGTCTGCATCTCAGGTTTGCTAAGCTCCTGTATGATCAGAGGTATTGAGGCGTTGTCTTGTCCGAGGGTCCTCACAGAGTAGTGAAGGCGTAGTTTGTGACAGGTGTGACTGTGATGGTATGTCCAGAGACCATGGGAGTGACAATGTATGTCTGCATCTTAGGTTTGCTAGGCTCCTGTATGATCAGAGGCATTGAGGCGTTGTCTTGTCCGAGGGTCCTCACAGAGTAGTGAAGGCGTATTTGGTGACAGGTGTGACTGTGATGGTATGTCCAGAGACCATGAGAGTGACAATGTATGTTTGCATCTTAGGTTTGCTAGGCTCCTGTATGATCAGAGGCATTGAGGCGTTGTCTTGTCCGAGGGTCCTCACAGAGTAGTGAAGGCGTATTTGGTGACAGGTGTGACTGTGATGGTATGTCCAGAGACCATGAGAGTGACAATGTATGTTTGCATCTCAGATTTGCTAGGCTCCTGTATGATCAGAGGTATTGAGGCGTTGTCTTGTCCGAGGTTCCTCACAGAGTAGTGAAGGCGTAGTTTGTGACAGGTGTGACTGTGATGGTATGTCCAGAGACCATGGGAGTGACAATGTATGTCTGCATCTCAGGTTTGCTAGGCTCCTGTATGATCAGAGGCATTGAGGCGTTGTCTTGTCCGAGGGTCCTCACAGAGTAGTGAAGGCGTAGTTTGTGACAGGTGTGACTGTGATGGTATGTCCAGAGACCATGAGAGTGACAATGTATGTTTGCATCTCAGATTTGCTAGGCTCCTGTATGATCAGAGGTATTGAGGCGTTGTCTTGTCCGAGGTTCCTCACAGAGTAGTGAAGGCGTAGTTTGTGACAGGTGTGACTGTGATGGTATGTCCAGAGACCATGGGAGTGACTATGTATGTCTGCATCTCAGGTTTGCTAGGCTCCTGTATGATCAGAGGCATTGAGGCGTTGTCTTGTCCGAGGGTCCTCACAGAGTAGTGAAGGCGTATTTGGTGACAGGTGTGACTGTGATGGTATGTCCAGAGACCATGAGAGTGACAATGTATGTTTGCATCTCAGATTTGCTAGGCTCCTGTATGATCAGAGGTATTGAGGCGTTGTCTTGTCCGAGGTTCCTCACAGAGTAGTGAAGGCGTAGTTTGTGACAGGTGTGACTGTGATGGTATGTCCAGAGACCATGGGAGTGACAATGTATGTCTGCATCTCAGGTTTGCTAGGCTCCTGTATGATCAGAGGCATTGAGGCGTTGTCTTGTCCGAGGGTCCTCACAGAGTAGTGAAGGCGTAGTTTGTGACAGGTGTGACTGTGATGGTATGTCCAGAGACCATGAGAGTGACAATGTATGTTTGCATCTCAGATTTGCTAGGCTCCTGTATGATCAGAGGTATTGAGGCGTTGTCTTGTCCGAGGTTCCTCACAGAGTAGTGAAGGCGTAGTTTGTGACAGGTGTGACTGTGATGGTATGTCCAGAGACCATGGGAGTGACTATGTATGTCTGCATCTTAGGTTTGCTAGGCTCCTGTATGATCAGAGGCATTGAGGCGTTGTCTTGTCCGAGGGTCCTCACAGAGTAGTGAAGGCGTAGTTTGTGACAGGTGTGACTGTGATGGTATGTCCAGAGACCATGGGAGTGACTATGTATGTCTGCATCTTAGGTTTGCTAGGCTCCTGTATGATCAGAGGCATTGAGGCGTTGTCTTGTCCGAGGGTCCTCACAGAGTAGTGAAGGCGTATTTGGTGACAGGTGTGACTGTGATGGTATGTCCAGAGACCATGAGAGTGACAATGTATGTTTGCATCTCAGATTTGCTAGGCTCCTGTATGATCAGAGGTATTGAGGCGTTGTCTTGTCCGAGGTTCCTCACAGAGTAGTGAAGGCGTAGTTTGTGACAGGTGTGACTGTGATGGTATGTCCAGAGACCATGGGAGTGACAATGTATGTCTGCATCTCAGGTTTGCTAGGCTCCTGTATGATCAGAGGTATTGAGGCGTTGTCTTGTCCGAGGTTCCTCACAGAGTAGTGAAGGCGTATTTGGTGACAGGTGTGACTGTGATGGTATGTCCAGAGACCATGAGAGTGACAATGTATGTTTGCATCTCAGATTTGCTAGGCTCCTGTATGATCAGAGGTATTGAGGCGTTGTCTTGTCCGAGGGTCCTCACAGAGTAGTGAAGGCGTAGTTTGTGACAGGTGTGACTGTGATGGTATGTCTAGAGACCATGGGAGTGACTATGTATGTCTGCATCTCAGGTTTGCTAAGCTCCTGTATGATCAGAGGTATTGTGGTGTTGGCTTGTCTAAGGTTCCTCACACAGTAGTGAAGGCGTAGTTTGTGACAGGTGTGACTGTGATGGTATGTCCAGAGACCATGGGAGTGACTATGTATGTCTGCATCTCAGGTTTGCTAGGCTCTTGTATGATCAGAGGGATTGTGGTGTTGGCTTGTCTAAGGTTCCTCACAGAGTAGTGAAGGCGTAGTTTGTGACAGGTGTGACTGTGATGGTATGTCCAGAGACCATGGGAGTGACTATGTATGTCTGCATCTCAGGTTTGCTAGGCTCTTGTATGATCAGAGGGATTGTGGTGTTGGCTTGTCTAAGGTTCCTCACAGAGTAGTGAAGGCGTATTTGGTGACAAGTGTGACTGTGATGGTGTGTCCAGAGACCATGGGAGTGACAATGTATGTCTGCATCTCAGATTTGCTAGGCTCCTGTATGATCAGAGGTATTGTGGTGTTGGCTTGTCTAAGGTTCCTCACACAGTAGTGAAGGCGTAGTTTGTGACAGGTGTGACTGTGATGGTATGTCCAGAGACCATGGGAGTGACTATGTATGTCTGCATCTCAGGTTTGCTAGGCTCTTGTATGATCAGAGGGATTGTGGTGTTGGCTTGTCTAAGGTTCCTCACAGAGTAGTGAAGGCGTAGTTTGTGACAGGTGTGACTGTGATGGTATGTCCAGAGACCATGGGAGTGACTATTTATGTCTGCATCTTAGGTTTGCTAGGCTCCTGTATGATCAGAGGTATTGCGGTGTTGGCTTGTCTAAGGTTCCTCACAGAGTAGTGAAGGCGTATTTGGTGACAAGTGTGACTGTGATGGTGTGTCCAGAGACCATGGGAGTGACAATGTATGTTTGCATCTCAGATTTGCTAGGCTCCTGTATGATCAGAGGTATTGTGGTGTTGGCTTGTCTAAGGTTCCTCACAGAGTAGTGAAGGCGTATTTGGTGACAAGTGTGACTGTGATGGTATGTCCAGAGACCATGGGAGTGACAATGTATGTCTGCATCTCAGATTTGCTAGGCTCCTGTATGATCAGAGGGATTGTGGTGTTGGCTTGTCTAAGGTTCCTCACAGAGTAGTGAAGGCGTAGTTTGTGACAGGTGTGACTGTGATGGTATGTCCAGAGACCATGGGAGTGACAATGTATGTTTGCATCTCAGGTTTGCTAGGCTCTTGTATGATCAGAGGGATTGTGGTGTTGGCTTGTCTAATGTTCCTCACACAGTAGTGAAGGCGTAGTTTGTGACAGGTGTGACTGTGATGGTATGTCCAGAGACCATGGGAGTGACTATGTATGTCTGCATCTCAGGTTTGCTAGGCTCTTGTATGATCAGAGGGATTGTGGTGTTGGCTTGTCTAAGGTTCCTCACAGAGTAGTGAAGGCGTAGTTTGTGACAGGTGTGACTGTGATGGTATGTCCAGAGACCATGGGAGTGACTATTTATGTCTGCATCTTAGGTTTGCTAGGCTCCTGTATGATCAGAGGTATTGTGGTGTTGGCTTGTCTAAGGTTCCTCACAGAGTAGTGAAGGCGTATTTGGTGACAGGTGTGACTGTGATGGTATGTCCAGAGACCATGGGAGTGACTATGTATGTCTGCATCTCAGGTTTGCTAGGCTCCTGTATGATCAGAGGTATTGTGGTGTTGGCTTGTCTAAGGTTCCTCACAGAGTAGTGAAGGCGTATTTGGTGACAAGTGTGACTGTGATGGTATGTCCAGAGACCATGGGAGTGACAATGTATGTCTGCATCTCAGATTTGCTAGGCTCCTGTATGATCAGAGGTATTGTGGTGTTGGCTTGTCTAAGGTTCCTCACACAGTAGTGAAGGCGTAGTTTGTGACAGGTGTGACTGTGATGGTATGTCCAGAGACCATGGGAGTGACTATGTATGTCTGCATCTCAGGTTTGCTAGGCTCTTGTATGATCAGAGGGATTGTGGTGTTGGCTTGTCTAATGTTCCTCACAGAGTAGTGAAGGCGTAGTTAGTGACAGGTGTGACTGTGATGGTATGTCCAGAGACCATGGGAGTGACTATGTATGTCTGCATCTCAGGTTTGCTAGGCTCCTGTATGATCAGAGGTATTGTGGTGATGGCTTGTACAGGTCCTTGTGTTACAGTTTGTGGTTGCACAACAACTGTTTGAGGTTCCTCTGTATTGCTTGCTCGATGGCTGTTGCTGTTGTGTGCCTGATGGCTCTGCTTAGATGCCGTGTTTGAAACATTTATAGCATTCTGGGTACCTGAAACACAATAATTTTGCCTTTATGTAATCTAATAATAATACAGGTATTTTTAATAAAATTTATCGTGAAAAGGTCAAATTCCTTAATATTTTGCCATGTATTATTTATGCTAAATACTAAGGCCCTGTTCTAGCTAGGGGATTAAATTTGTGTGCTTGTTACCAAGACCCCGTCCAAGCTGAGGGTCTAAATTAGAACGAGTGACAGCAAAATCACACAAAAAGACATGAGCATGGCTAAGCTGGACAATCAATGCAAATTTTACCACCAAGGCATCGTTTTTTCATCAGAATATCATTGGTTGCAGCTCTAGTACTCACATAATTTTTCTTTAGGTAGGCTTCGTCAGCATGGAGCTTTCAAGAAACAACAAGTTGCATTTTTACACACAGACAACAAGTTTACTAATCCATTCTTCACAATATAAAGTAGTGAAAGAATACACTTCTACTGTACAGCGATTGTCGCCATTGTGTGATCCCCGATGGACACACTTTTTTATTGTAGAAACAGACGAGAACAGTCATATCGCCCATACAAATTTTAAGTCGCACAGCTAGAATAGAGCCAACGGATTATATTCATTTAAGATGATGGAAAGTTACCTAATTCTATTTTACAGAATCTGACATGTGGGAATTGTTCCTTCATAAAATGCCGAAAAGTTGAATATCCCATAGTTTTTTCTTCTGGAGGAGCATTTTTCTTCATGAATCCTTGGTACAAATTATGAATTGTTTTCCGGCTTATTTCAGGTGGAAAGATCACAGTGTTTTTACAGTTTCTGAAAAGATACATGAAACCAATTAAAATATTATATTGTATAAATCATAAAAAGAAATACACCTTTTTAGATTTAAGTAAAAAAAAGTCTGATACAAACTATTTGAAATATTAATACATCACGAACATTCTCTTATGAGTACCAATTGACATGTCCTGAAACTTCAAAGGTTAGCTGGAATACCAAATTTATGAAATACACAAGAATGGACATATTTGTGTCATCTTCAAATATTTCTATTGATTGCGGTATGAGTAGCCTCCGGATTATGCGGCGGGGGTATTATTTATAGTTGTTTGTTTACTTTTCCTGGGTTAACCTTTTGGTTCTGGTCACACAGTTGATAGCAAATAAATGTACCAAAGAGATAACTTATTCATTTATAAAAAATAAGCAGTTACTGTACAATTAAGATTTGCCACTATAATCAATTATGGGTACATAACTGTTTTTACAGTGGATTTAAATAACCACATTATTATTCTCTGTATACTCCCCCTGCAAAGCACAGACAGAGCAACTAGTTTATTTTATAATCTGGATGTACTGTACTGGTATATAAGTCATTATGACTTTATTAAGTAACAACACAATACAAGTGTTGAATTATTGGCCGACACAGGAAAGAAGTGTTCTCAAAAGAAGTCCTAAACAACGAAATATTAATAATTCTATTGTGTAAATTAATTACTCATGTAATTACGCCCCTATTTGAGTTTATATAAGAAGTAAACACAATGTCTGGTGGAATAACAATAAAAATATTAAAAACTCTAAAAGATACAAACAAGTAGGTTGTTGGTTGGGTTAAACTAAACCTACCCTGTATTCGTGTTATGCTGTTCTATATAGCTTTTGAGAAACTCTGTAGCTCTTCTGTAAGTTTCAAGCGAGAACACATTATGGGGTTTCTTGCCGTGGTTCCCATGGACACGGGGGGTGACACCATGAGTCATGACGTGTTTGCGTATCCTCTTTAGTTGGTATAACGTACAATTCTCTAGATACAGAAATGCTGAGAGGCAAACTCTACGGCCTTGGTAAACGTACTGCGCCCTCAACCTGTAAATATATCAATAAATCCATAAATATCAATAAAAACCTGAAAAATACTTGAAAATTGAATTTTGGTCATTTTGAGCCTGTACCGAAAATTACCCTGACTCGAAGTGATCTTTTCAGTACCCGACCCGAACCCGCCCGAACCTAATATTTCACTACCCTCAGACCCCTATCAGCAATCTGACACATACTTTCTCCCATAAGCTTGTCAACAACCTTTATCATGGGTAAGCGGTGGGAGTAAAAATAACTTTTGAACCGTAATATTTACAGTAATGGGGGTTGCATTATTTTGTTTGGAACTATAAGGACCATAACACATTCATTTTAATCAAAACCGAATTTATTTCCAAAATAGATTTTTTTATTTACGGGATTTTTTATAGGAAAATAACACAAGCTACAATAACTTTTCAACTGTAATTTTCAAGGAAATGGGATTTGTACCATTTTGTACAGAACTAAACGACTATAGCATACTAAATCTTTATCAAAATCGTTCAGGCCATTTTCAAGAAAATCTGTTTTTTCTGTTATTTTATGGGAAAATTCCCATTAAAAATCAAAATTTCAAAAAAATCAAAAAACGCCTGGAGATACCATGGATTAGTACCTACATACCAAACCATGGTTTAAAAGGATTTTGTAAAATGGATAGGTAGGCCTATTGAAAAATTAGCTAGGCAAAAGGAATGTCTGCCTTAGAGCAGGTAGTTGGCTTGGCTACAAACTTTAGCAAAGCGGACAACGACTTGGATCATGCTGAGATAAAGTTCAGATTACAATATTGTTGGTTATTCAAACGAACGCTTTATGTATTGCCTACAGTTGTAGATTTCAAAAATGCAATCATTCAAATTTAATAATAAACTAATATTATACATATAACGGATAATAAGTTACCTACTTGAATTTGAAATGATAATGTTAAACCTTTCTTTCCACTTTAAAAGATTTTGTTTTAGAACCAGAATTTCTAGGGCAATTTCAAAGATTCTGTACCGTATATAAAGTTCATTGTCTAGATCAATTTTAATTTCTGAAGATACACCAATATTGTAATGGACACAGATATTCCCTCAGACTCACCTCCTCCTCTCCCGTTGTTTCACCGTGACTCCGGGATCAGACATACAAGCCATTGTTACTCCCATCAGGTACATGTCATGCTCTTCCTTCGTCAACTCTGCTATATTCAGACGATGCCTGAAAAGAAGAGAAAATAGAAAACTTAAGATTGTTTGAATATCATTTAAGGTAAAATTGAGTTAATTAATTAACATTTTTAGGAAACAAACAACTTTAAATTGAAATATTACTGTTTGAGTAATATCCTAGTAATTATTTTACCACAACTAACAATACAAGCTGATGATGAATCACCATAAAAAACTAATAATAATAATACCAAAGCAAAACAACTGTGAAATTATATGAGTTCTATAGTTCAATACAATTTTAATTTCATTCATGTATGCAAAGTTTGTAGAGTTATTATCCAAGCTAAACTTTGAATAATCACCAATGCTAAGAAACTAGATTAGAACTTAAATCAGTTTCACATAGTTAAATCGACAATGATTTGAAAACTTTTGAAAATCTTTCTCAAGGCGTCTGACTGAATTAAACTATCTTCATGGATATTTGATAGTAAGACATAATTCAGATAATATTTTGACTCTGCACTATAAGACAAGTACCTTGGCACAAAACTTTGGATCAAGTGTTTTATGTACTGAATTGTACTATAACTGTTTAGTTATACAACTCTATTTATGCTTCTCCACCTTTGAAAAAAAAAACCATTCCAACCTGACAATCAAATAAAATTTAAGAAGTTACAACTATAGAAAAGAAGGTAACCTCTATAGAGGGAAAGTTACAAATACTTGTATGCAGAAATTGTCTAATTTAATGCAAGTCCTCATACCATTTATTGATTCAATGATAACCTCCCTTAAGTCAGATAACACCAGGGGCTCCTAAAAATGCAACCAAATAATTCTTAAAATGCAACCAAATAATTCTTCTGCGTTGACCACTATTATCAGAATATAATATTGATTTATAAAATCAAAATTTTCATATATATCTAGCTGTGTGTATAAAATTTACACTGCATATGTATCTCTGTTAAGGCACATTATCATTATTTAAAAGGATTTAATAAAGCACAAATAAACCTCTAACCTCCAACTCACCTATACACATTATCCGGATTTAACCCTTGAAAACAGCTGACATCATGACATTCACATCCCATTGCAAACCTTTGCCGAACGTCGTTGGCATCATCATTTTCCACATTTTCCTCCACTTTTGACTCATTCTTAGGCTCTTGAGGCTTTGCTGGTTTTTTCTTCCACTTGTGATTATTTTTTTTGGGTTGTACTTTGCTGCCTTGTTTTTGGGGGATTTGTTGGGGAAAAATCTGTTGCCTTTCAAATAACTATAAAAAAAATCAAGATCGGTTTAAAATATTTTATTCAATGCTATGAAAAACAAAATATCAAACTTGTTGACTCAGGATGGCTTATAAAAAGGACTAAATATGATTAATTAGCATATGACTATCACCACCTCAAATTTCTAGGAAAATTTTACAACTTAAGTTTAAAATAGGCTGTAATAAATGTATAACATTTCTTCCTGCAATCTATCAGTGTGGAATCCTTCATTTAAATTATTAAAGTGTGACTTAGTGAGATAAACAAATATCAAAATACAGTACAGTAGAAAGTCGATCATCCGAAACCTTTGGGAATTGTGGGTGTTTGGATAACCGATCATTGACACTAAAAATTTGATAAATCATCTTAACAATTATTGATAACATTTCAATACATTTTAGCATATATTTAAAAATTCTCAAAATTGTTCTGGTTTTCATTGTTTCCTGCGATTGTCCCGCAACACCTGCACATCTTGCAGTCGTGCAACTGCTCATCACCTCTTGCGATGGCGGCAACACTGGTGATCGGGCTTTCAGTTAACCAATGTTTCGGAAAATAGGGCTTCGGATAATTGACGCTCTACTGTAGAACTCCTCATATCCGACCTTGGCATAACCGACTCCTCAGGATATCTGACCATAAGTTAGTTATAAGTGATTGCTGAGGTTTTGCTAATCCTTCAGGACTCTTTGAAAAAAAAACTCTTACCAAATGTTCTGAGGGTTGGTTGGTAGTCTCTACATCCAGGGTTTGGTAACTCTCCCATACAACGGCAGTGCCATCTTCATGCACATATTCGTGACTGCCGTCACCGTTCTCAAGCCGGTAAATATTGCCGTGATGCTGCAATTCATTATGCCATTGACCTTGCTCTTCACTGTTGTCTATAACTACCACCTATGACAATTTTACTGGATGTAATCACTCGATTTGAATATAAATGCAGCTTAAGTTACTCAGTTGATTTAACTTTAATAGTAAAACTTTATTGCAAGTTGTAGGCCTATCACTTGAATAGGGATGGATGTTCTTTAAACGTACTGTTAACGTTAACAGTTTACTTTATTGTGTGAGTTACGAATTGGGCAACAGTTTGATATCCAACTACATTGTATTAGGCCTATCCATTTTTACAATCGATACAGAAAGTTTGGGTTTTGGTTAGTTCAAAATTGGTAATTGATCAAATCAACACTTTGTCCGATACCTAATCCAATGAAGTTGGATATCAAATTTTTGCCACAATTGTTATAGGACTTAACAAACTAAGTCTTACAAATTACAAAAACCCAAATCTAAGAAGGGTTTTCTATATAGGCTAAACGTTTTAAGAGTAATACGATTAGTTTCTCACTGTAGTAGTTGTCACATGTTATTAGTAGCACAACAAAATTTGAAAATTTGATTTTGATTTTACTACTACAAAATTTGGCTCCATTACTATTAACTTGTAAAACCTATTAGATTTTACCTAACCCGCCATGTTAAACTTCCCTATCCCAAGCGTGATGTATAAAACTTCCTTACTTCTTGAGTGATGTAAAGTTGAAAAAAACTCACTCGGTGATGTAATGAAACCCATTTAATTACCATTGAGTTCTTAACTTAAAAAAATATACCTCTATGGAGGCATCGACGTTCAACGCTAGAAATCAGCTGTGCGCTTGAATGTTATTGTTATGCTTTAAAGTATTTTCCTAACCTAGCTTTTGTTTGTAAAATAACGTTACTGTAAGACGATGAGTGAAATGGATAATGAAAAATATTGTACGTAAACCCATGTATATTGTCGGGTCAGGTAAAATCTTGTACGTTACACGTTGCGCAAGAGCGTGTTTACATCTCTTAGGTGAATTATGCAACGAGCGGAAGCGAGTTGTAAAAACGCTCTTACTACACTTGTAATGTAAATAGCTATTACTTAGGTCCAATTTGACTACTGATGTAATTTTGATACTCATATGACTTAAGAGAACAGGTTTTGCTTTTTCTATTAGGCTACAAAAACATTAGGTACATACCTCATGTTGAGCGTTGGTTCTATTCAAATTTCCTGATCTTTCTATTCTTTCAACTGAAAGTAGTGAATGTAATACTTCACTCGCTTCTTTTTCTGCTTCATCAACAAATCTTGTTGCCTGAATATTAAAAAAGATAATCGTCTAAAGCTATTAATCAATTCATAAAGACTACACAAGAATTAATTGATAAGTGACTATAGTATATCAACCACATGTTTAATAATTATTCAATACAATGTTCTATGTTGACAATAAGTCAATATCCATCATATGTTATTATTAATAATTATAGTGTTAAATAAGTCATCAACGTTCAACATTACACATTTTTATAAATCAATTGTGTATTGTAAAATAAATCTTTTCAAATGAAGCAACCTTTTTCAATTATCAAAGTCAACAAAATACGCGTGCACAAACAAGGCCACGACAAGTTGATTGGCGACAAGTAAACCTCAAGTGAGTGACTGTTACTGTATGAACATTACCTGTAAGCAATCTAGGCCAGGACTATCAACAATTTTTTTTTCATCTAGCTGGATTTTCAATTATCAATTAGAAACATTTAATTTATCTCATCAACATGGATCAAGAACAGTTCAAGCAATTTTTGGAAATGCCATGATAACAACATTGGTAAGTCAACTTTCTAGACAATGTTTTAACATAAAGCCAAATGATACTGAACAATCTGAAACAAACTTAACTCATACAATGGCTTATGTGCCAAGCTTTGACATTTTTGACAGTAAAAAGGAATCTTTCTCAAATTATTACCAACGCTTTGAAAATTATGTTCAAATGAAAAATATTGCATCTAACAAAGATTACTGTGCTAAATTGCTCTTGAACTCAATTGGACCTAGCAATTTCAAACTAGTTTCATCCTTATCTGCACCAAATAATCCTAAAAAATTAACTTACGATGACCTGATCAAAATCCTAAAAGAACATCTAGAACCTAAAAGAAATGTATGTAGCCTACTTATTTCCCAGCACCAGTTTCTATCAATCTATCAAACCGATAATCAATCAATTTCAGAGTTTGTAATGTAACTACTGATAGTCAATTCACTGTCTCGATGGAAACTGATTTAAGTTAAACTGTTGGCCATGTTGAGCAAACAGTCCCCCCTTTGTATATCGGCTGAATGGGCCATAGCCAAGTCCATATCTAGGGCACCGTTAAGATTAGAAATTTTCATTGTAGGCCTAGTGTTGTTTGTTTTCCTTATTTCAAAACTTGTTCTTCAATTTTGCAAATTATCTCAAAAAATAAAATTCTACTTAAGTCCTTGGAAGCTGACGGCCATCTTTGATTTGCCCGCCATAAGAGCAATGTTAGTTTCAAATAGTCGCTGAAGGGTTATTTACCAGTGTCTCAAAATATTTTTTTTTTATAGGTACCAAAGGGATTGTAATTGAAATATCTAGGGAAATGTGAGATTAGAAATTTTCTTGGTAGTTAAGTAGGCTAATTGTTTTATGAGCTAAAACAGTTAGGCTCCAAGGACTCTTTAAGCTCACTTTCTACGGCAAAATAAGTTAGTCCTATTATTCTGCAAACACATGTCAGCAGTAAAGTATCGTCTAGGTTCTCTGCGGAACTGTGCCCTCAAACATTAACTTAAGCACAATGCTATTTGTAAATTTTAGCAGTTATAATCAGGCCTAAAAAATGATCCTATATATCCTATAATATCTTTTATCCACGAAAAAGTAAAAGTAAGGATAAAAAGTAATGTAGACTGTAGGCCTAGGTCAAGCAAAAATCGCCAATAAGTTTCTGTACCTAGATAGATTTTTATACTTAGGTCGATTTTGAAATGAGGAAAATATGGCTAATTTAATAATTAAAAACTAATAAACTAAAGAAAACGTAACCATCGAATGCAAAATAAGATCTACAATAATAATATGTTTTGTACTTTTAAAATCGAATAATGTTTATCCAAGTAGAGAACTAGCAATAATCGGCCTTAAAGAGAAGTTACAAGGCTCATATCCGCACGTCATGATGAAAAGAATTGCAAAATTCACCTTTATAGGAATGGACTTCAGACGACACTTGGTAGCCGTTTTAAGAATACTACTCACCTTACTTTCGTAGTTTTTTGACATAATCAATGAATTAGCACTACACAGCTTGGTTTAGTACGTTAGAACACACCAAATCACTTTACAACCTTGAAAATTACAAATGTTTCCTTTAGAAAATTATGAAGAATCAACTCCAAAATGGGCAATATGGCGTGTGTCCTATAAAGTATGTTCTGCGCATGACCGTTACGTCATCACGTAGTTCGATCGTCAACAGAAAGCGGTAAATTTGAAAATGCCCCATGCTATGCTAGATGTAGGTTTACGTTTACATTTTAGAAATTAATATTAAGTTAGCGAATTTCCCAAATAGGGAATAAGCTATTACCGTAGTACTCATGGTAAGACCTGAACCCATGACCGATTTTCTTTTTCGTTTTGAGGTCCCTAGGGGCCAAAAAAACCATCCTTCAAATTCAAATATATATATTTACATTTATATATGTGTGTGTGTCTGTGCGAGCAAAAATGGTCAGATTTTGATGAAATTTGGTACAAACGTTTAAACCTACGTTTATTTGAACAAGTTCGCGATCCAGCATAATCTGACCATAGGAACGGGGTTTTAAGGGGTAAAAATAGGTTTTTCCCATTTTTGACCCTAAAAACACAAAATTTTACAATTTATTCCCAAACCATTTTGTAGAGCTTAAAAAACAAATAATTTAGTACATTGAAGCGTTGTTGTGCGCCTAATGGTTACAGAGAAAATTCCAAAAAATTGTAAATTAAAAATTCCCATGTTATTTTAAGTCAACTGTTGTAGTTTGCTTGTTTATGAACATATTTTGATTGAATTTGGAAAATACTTTCATTTCTGACTAAACTATTAACATAAAAAAAACAAACACTTTTACCCTCCCTGTTGCAGCAAACCTAAGTACTCGTTAAACTAATTCTATTTAAATAGGGAATAAATGTGATATTTTTATGGAGGCATTTTAGTGTAAATCTAATCAGGTTAATGGAAATTCACTTAGTCTGCAGGTCAGTACCCGGTTTGCTGCAGCGGGGGTATTTTTAAATGTAATGTTACTAAGTTGTTCACGTTTTTGCATGTTTACAGTACTTCTTTAAACACTATGTTTGAGTATGGCCATATTCAATTTTAGTGTTGATGGCTTTGTTTTACTTTTTACACAGACACAGTTTTCACTGAAAAAGCGCATACTTGACAAAGACACAAAAACTGTATGTGTAAAAAATAGGATATGGCACGTGCAAGTGCAATCCTTCCTTCCTTCGTTAGGGTCACGGCAAAGGTAATTTTTAAGGAAAATTTCTTCTTAGTCAGTTTGAAAGGATTTCAGACTATTGCTTAGTATGATTGTTTGACCGGAGTCAGCCAACTTCGATTTGATAGTGTAGGTTCCCAAGTAGGCTAATGATTTTATTTATGTTTTTTTTTGTCCATAATCAATCTCGCTTGGAATCAAACCAGCGAAAAACAAACACAACAGACGAGACAATTAATTTTAAAATCCTTTTACGGGCTTCTTTGATAGGGCCCAGGCCCAGGTGCGCAAGTAAAGAGGTTTTAGGTTTTTGTTGGGACTTGGGAGTGCAAGGAAATAAAATTTATCCCAATGGTTATGTGATGAGGGCTGCAATTTATCTGCTGGGCTCATATCACATGCAACCCGCGAGCCTTCTTATACCTATTTAATTTATGTTTGTAACTTACCTTGATCTTAACAGCTAGCTATTGATGATGGTTGATTCTTCTGAAACACCGCGGAGTAACAATCGGACTATTAACTGTAAACTCCTGATAACTATAGCTGTGTTAAATCAATTGTCAATAGAGTGGGATCAATATGTTGCATAGTTACTAACACGAGTCTGATATCTAATAGACCTAGTGTAATCTTAATTCACATCACTTCTAACTGACCAGAACTATAAATGGACATGTATGTTTGACATCCAAACTTATAAAATTTCACCTTTAAAAATTAAAACAGAGCATATCTTGATTGATATTAAAGTGCGGTTTTACATGGGTCAACTTGAGTTGAGCAACCTGTTGTTTTAAGTTGAATGTTGCAAGTAAAATGAAGCGTTAAACACTATAGTTGAATTAAAGTTGATTAACTCAAGTTGACAGTCAACTCAGAATGAATGACTTTGATATTTTTATTTCAAGTTGATTGTTGACATTTTTCTTGCCAAATTGAAGAATTCTTGCTAAAATGTGGCATATACTTCCTGCAATAGCTATTGTACACATAATTGGAAAATATTGCAATCTTCCAACATGGTTTTTGAAAGTAGTTTTTTCTAAAGTTAGTTGATTTCAACCATGCTAGCTGTGTAAACACAATCGTCAACTATTAGTTAAATTCAACTGTAGTTGATCCAACTCCAATCGCTCAAAACTCAAGTTGACCGTGTATACCCCACTTAAGTACATATTTGCAAACCTTTTTCAGTTGAGTTAGTGTGAATGTACTTATTTCTCTAGTGAAGACCTTAAAAATTATGTATAGGCCAACTCAAATTAGGCCCCCCAAACACACGTAACGATCGGCCGGCAGTTTGGCCTGTGAAAGGATGGTCCCCATACACGCAACGATTTGCCTGCCGGCCGGACTGAATCTTACCCGCCTAGCGGCAAGTGTGCAGTCAGTTTACGTTTTGAGTTTACGCGTATGCTACGATTTTAGCAGCACTGCAGAAAAGGAAAAAGTGGAAGAGGAGGGGGTTGTGGCATAAAGAGGGGCTTAACAGAACAGCACCAACCGACAGTGGCGTTGCTTGGTTAAATTCTAGGGGGGGGAGAAGCCTCAAATTTCCCAACTGCTTAACATAGATTTCCCAACTATTTTTTATAAAAAAAATCAATTTCTGTACTATTTTTAAAAATCTACAAATTATTATACTACACTGCAGTCACACTCAATTCAGTATTTATTAACTTGCATTAACAAAACATAGCTAGTTTTACATGTATACAAAATTACTCAATTCAAAAAACGTCTAAAACTTCTACCAATTCATAATGAAGTTTTATGACTTCAAAAACTTGAATAAGTATTGTTTCAAATCCAAAAAACTTTACAAACCATTGTGGTAGCAGTGCACAATTTTAGGGATATAAAATAAGCCTAGTACAAATTAGTATAGAAAAACAATATTTTATTACAAAATAATGAAATTACAATACTTTTAGAAGTTGATATTAAGATCAACACTTTAATTTTCATAAAACTTACAACTAGGCCTAAACAAGTTTGTAATGATGAAATATTATTATCAGTGTTGTGAATAATATTATTCTAGTCTAGAAAAGAATAAACCTAAAATAAGACTTGTATAAAATAAAAACGTTCAACTTGGTTGATAATAAACTTATACATACAATAAAAATGTTAACCTTCATCTTCATCAAACTAGAACTTGGACAAAAATCAAACTCAAACGTGAAAGTCAAACATCAAATTTTAGGTTATGTTTTGTCTATTGTCTATGTAGATCTGTTTCAGAGTGATTAGTTGATTCATTTTTGTAAATTCTTAATTAGGAATGATAAATCACTTTTGTAGATTTTTTAGATAATATTCAGAGAATAAATATTTCATTTAGGTTATTAAAAATTAGAGTTTTAAAGGCAATACCGATATACAAAACCTATCTTTAATGTTATTTTAATCTACCTATTAGCAAGTACTCCTGTCAGTAAGCCTGCTCCAAATACTACAAAAAAAGGTATAAAATATAGTTTATTTGACTGACATGAAAAATATTTTTGAACTTCTTGTAAACACTAACAAACAACATAATTGAACTGAAGAGCTACGCCGCTTGCACTTTCAAAATTCAAACTCGCAGTTTCGCAGACGAACCATTCAGAAAATCATCAACACAGGACAGGATCAAGGTAGCCAACATACGTCCAATAAGGAACAAAATTTCTCGTAAACGAAATTCCAACAAACTATACCGCTAATTGGTTAACGATTTCTTAAAATAAGGCGTGTTTAGCCATGGTTTAGCCTAGTTTAATCAAAGTTAAATTAAATCAAAGAAACATCAAGTTTATTCGTCCAAGTCAAAGAAATTTTGATCTTTGATGGATTTTTGCAAATATTTTTAAATTTTATTTAGTTTAAAAATATATTTTTCTTGTATCTGATTTCCCAACTGTCCCAACTCGTGGCAAGGAAATTCCCAACTTTTCTCTTTCCAGGATTCTAGGGGGGGGAGGCTCCCCCCCCTACCCCCCCCCAAGACGACGCCCCTGCCAACCGATGTCAATTTATTGGAAGAATTTAGATTGTCACTGTCACTGAACAATATAAAACACTCGATATATGGCACAATACAAAGACTGAGCAGAAAATAAAGTTAGGTTATATCAATGACCTTGGACCTTGCCTAACCTAAAAATGAATGTAAATCAAAATAATGCTACTACTTTTGGCCTTTCCTGTGGCCTGCCGGCGACCCCATACACATGCTGATCGGCCTGAAGGCGATAGTTTAGATGGGATTCTCATCAGTCGTCGTCCGGCCAATTTGGTGGGCCGGCGGCCGGACGATGACCCCATACACGTAACGATCGGCCGGCCGGCGTCGACTGTTCAGGCCGGGCCAACGGTATGTGGTGCCTTACATTCCTACTCACTTTAGATTTTGAGACCAACAACACATAAGATATTATCCATATTAGAAATATAAATTTAATACCCACTTTACTTTAATACATTGTACTTTACTCAATTGACCATAGTGTTATGGTTACAAAAGTAAAAATACACAACTCTGAAGTTTTTATTTTCAGTAAAACACGCAACAGCTCTTTTAGAATATTTTTTTAATCGGGAAGAAATACATTCCTCAAAAATATTTAGCTTAATTTTAAGAAAACACCTTTTGTTTCAGTTTCAGGAGACTTAATTAAATCATTTTTTCAAGTAAAATAGTAAAACCCTGCCCTGAGTTGACTTAGATGATGGGCTTTCATATTCTATTTGTGTAGCTTTGGAGGTGTTGTTACATACCCAGACAGCACACTTTCTCCTCAGGACATCCCACGGATATTGCGACAGGATATGCAAGATATCCCATAGTGGTCCTATGGGCAACTTGGGATATCACAGGATATCCACAGGAATGCCTAATGTCCCCGCCCGGGGATGTCCTACGGATAAGCTCACACGCATATCCGTGGGACATCCGAGGTCATCCCAGGGTAGTCCTCAGGACATTCTCAGGACATATGGGACTACTATGGGATGTCCCTGGGATAAAGTGTGGTCTGGGCCTGAACATAAAAAACACAAAATAATATAGATTTAGTATGAAAAGTTTAATTATAAGTTTAGTAAATTGATTAAATAGTTAATAAACACAAATTTTGAAGAAAAAAACGAGAATAAAGTTTTTGGCCCAGACGGGTTTCGAACCTGGTACCTGGTAAAGTTAGAAGCCTTGTGAGCCTCTTACCTTACCTCCTGAGCTATCTGCGCTTGTTGATTATGGGTGTTTTCAAGTGATTAAAGAGTAGCCGACAGTTGCAATGGTCGCAATACTTAAAATATTTTTGATACTACAGTATAGGCTATATATGATTCTGTTAATCTGTTTAGGCCTCAAGTAGTTGAATTTTTTTTCTGGTAGTTGGAGAGGATACTGGTATTTGAATATAGATTATTTAATCACCATTAGATTAGCACTGTAATAATTGATTGTTATATGATTAAAATTAGTTTTTCGTTGTTTTATTAATTTAAAGTTAGAATTAAATTCACATTCCACACAACTATGATAGAACTCTAGTTTTCCTGAACTCAGTGGTAGTAATATGTCAGTAAAGTAAAGTCAACCCTTGCTAGCCATAGTATTAACAAGATACATATTTTCAATCTGGGAAACCTTAAACTTTTAAAATAAATTATAAAACCTCAACATCTTAATGCGTGGGAATCTTATTTTTAGAAAAAAAAACAGACCAAAATTATTTGTTAAATAATGAAGACGGCCCAATTATAAATTCGGAATTACTGAAAATAATTACATCAAGAACAACACTGTAACATATCCAAAATTCAAAAGATTAATTTTTCTAATATTATTTTTTATTTTTCCAATATCCTTTAAATCATCTGTTTTAACTTTGTTTAAAATTAATTTATTAAGTAAATATTTACTTTTTGTACTAGTGTAAACACCCTGAAGATGGAAACCAAGTTTCTGAAAGCACTAGTGAAAAAAACAAATTATTATATATTGGCCTTGTTGAACATTTAAATTTAGATATACTGTACATTTCATCAGTGGTAGTATTTTTTTTCTTCAGTTTGTTACCGGGACATTACGGGACATTACAGGATATCCAGTGGATTTTGTACATGTCCCGGGATGTCATGGGACATTCTGGGATATCCTATGGCATTCGTACATATCCCGGGACTTTGCAGGATATCCTGAGGTTAACTTACAAATCCCGGGACATTACGGTATATTGTAGGATATCCTGTGGATTTCGTACTCGTCCCGGGATTTTGCGGGATATCCTGAGGATAGCGCACATATCCCGAGACATTCTCAGGACATATGGGACTACTATGGGATGTCCCTGGGATAAAGTGTGCTGTCTGGGTATATTTTAGAACTTTTTAGTTTGAAAATTGCTTGAATTTATCGGTTTTAAGAAAAGTAGTGATTAATCCCCTCCCCCTCTCGTGGAAAACTCTAGAAAACGTAGCTGGTGGGGTAAGACAAAAGCAGAAATGTGGTATCAAGTGCTAGTCCTTTGAAGACAGCCACTCGATTATCTCCATTATTCAACTTAATTTTCACTGTGTGCTCACCCTGTGCAAGTTGAGGGGAACAATTATTAATTACTAAATTTAAGGTGTTAAGACAAACAAAACTAAATTAGGAAAAGTGTAATATAACTTTTAAATAAAGAACTTGTATATATTCTCTAAATCTATAAACAAACAATTCCTTGAATGGGAGAGGTGGGGAAAAAGACTATATATAGCTTTAGGAAGATGAGTGCATTATGTGTCCAGGCTTTACTGACCTGGAGTGGCCTCATCTGCTAGAGAAACTTGACTGCTCCGCTGATCCGGACCTTCCATTTTCACTTGATCACTTACACATCACTTGAGAATCACTTCATCACTTAATCACTCCACTGTTCTTTTATCATCACTTCCCCTATCAATGAACATTTTTCTTCTAATAAGTAATAAACCATGTATGAGGTGCAGTTTGAATAATTAAGTCCCTGAACAAAGTTCATCGTTATAGATTTATCTCGAGAACAATTATTGAAAAACAATAATTTAAGTTTTGTACAATAACATTTATGTATGCATTGTTAGATTACGGTAGCTGTTGTTAGTACTGTAACTAAAGGATGACAATAAAAAAAGATAAACCAAGGGTAAAAGGTGAACTAACTTAAGAGCTAAAAGGTCTTTAAGGAAAAATAACTCCTCGTTCTTATTGTGAAACAATTATCGATTGATAACATTTTATTCAACTGGTTTTTACCTAGATGTTTAATCATAAAAAAACATATTAGTTTGCTTAATTTTTCTGATATCAGTAATCAGATTCAAAAATAATTTTTAGATGATTGGTTTATTTAATTTCTGATAAAACCTTGTGGTACCTTAAACGCTCCCGCTAGCCACTACTTCAGTTCAATTTTTTTATTTTCCAAAAACATCCAACTGTAAAATTATATATAAAAAAAATAAATAATACAGCCCATCCCCAAAAACCCTATCCTAGATAGTCTACTGCACCTACCATAAACATATATTACAAATAGGCTACAAATTGTGTTGTCCTGGGAGGCATGTTGGAGTTGTTAACCGTTTTAGCTGCTGTACTACAATATAGGTCTATAAGCAATACCTAAAGCATGGAAGAATCAGGCGCATAAATGTTATTGTTCATCAGAAAATTCAAATAAACAATAAATAATCTTTTCTCTAGGTTGTATGTTTTCCAACCAAATTTATGTTTAATCCAATGTAGACCATCACATAACAGAACAGAGTACTGATAATAAGAAATTAGTTATAATTAAAAGATAACACCACTTAGGTACTTACAATTAAACAAAAATAATGATGTTAAAATCATAAGAATAAGGTATCAAACCTAGTTCAACAAGTCCACACTTAATCAATTTTCAAAATAATTAATCAGCTACCTGTTACAATTTTAATTTACAACCGAGATGTGTATAGCATTGGGTTGTGAAACAAATAAAAAATAAATCAACACAACCGTTTGTTATGACTAATGATTACTCAGTGGTTTCAAACTATGCAAAAACGTAAGAACTCGCACCACCGGCACTACCACTACCAACATTACTACACGACAGCCATGCTGAATCTTACACGCAGGCGTACCAGCCCTCCCACGTCAATATCTCCGATGACGTATTGTCTGCTGGTCAGCTGATCACAATCACAACATAACCTCAAAGTAATAAAGTGCGGAAAAATGGTAATGGAGGTTACTTGATTACTACCATTACTACTGTATCAACAAATCAAATTATTCCCTTATCCATACTTGGACAGAAGTTCTTAAAAAAACCATTTGTATTAAAACACAGTTTTGCTCCTCTCAGTTATAGCATAGCCCTACTTAAATCGGTATCTGCCAAATCGTAAAACTATTATATTTTTCTAATAGGCCTATGTTGTTGTATGTGATTCATATCATATGGCAATCAGTGTGTTATATTCCGAGTGTTTCTGCGGCCAAGAAATCTGCAGCACCTTAAAATTAAGTGTCGGTTAGATTTTCATTACTTAAAATTCGTGAAGTATTTAAATCGCTGGATTTCTACAATCTCTTCTAATATATAAAATTCTCGTGTCACAGTGTTTGTCTGCAAACTCCTCCGGAACGACTTCACCGATCGTTATGAAATTTGGTGTGTAAATTCTGTAGGTATGCGAATAGGAAGTAAACTATTTCCCGTTTCGAAATTCTTAAAAGGGCTCCGCCCCAGTGGCTCTGGAGTTTCCCATGTTAACCTTATGAGAAATGGAATTAATGAATCTTAACAGCTGTTTCAATTAAATAGCATTAAAGTTACAAGGATTACCAACAGGGTGCAGCACTATTATTTCTTTTACATTTTTTATGACAACAGCTAATTTGCAACCAAAAGGTGAGTGAGCGTAGCGAACGAACTTCAACCTGGAGGCGAGTGAGCGTAGCGAACGAGCCAACCTGAAGGCAAGTGAGCGCAGCGAACGAGCTCCAACCTAAAGGTGAGTGAGCTTAGCGAACGAGCTCCAACCCAAAGGTGAGTGAGCGTAGCGAACGAGCTCCAACCCAAAGGTGAGTGAGCGTAGCGAACGAACTTCAACCAGGACGTGATTGAGCGATGCGAACGAGATCATCTTGAAAATTAAACGTAACGGTACTTTCTTTCCATCGGTCTGTCTTAGGGGAAACCTATAACTTAGGCGATACGAAGTTCGCTGGGTCAGCTAGTTATAATATAGAATGGGTTCGTGATCCTGTACAGTTACAGTATGTCTGTGTTTGTTCCGAATGTACGGAACAACTGATCAATTGGAATTGACTGGTTGGAATTTTGCACTAAAAGGATCATGAACTTGGCCATAACATAAGGTCATTCATTTATGTTAATTAAATTCTTTCAGGCCACGCACAAATGCACAATTAATTACTCCAAAGATGTTTTATTGCATAATTTTTACGAATTTCGTGCTTCTAGACACGATTGCAAGTGGTGCAATGATTTATGATTAGCAAACCGTTTGAAATGCAATAGGCTAAAATAAAATGCAAATAAAGTATTTTAATTATGCAGTGCGCAATAAAACCTCTGGGTTAGCATTTTACTTGTTGGAACTAATATGCAAATATGATACGATTTTCAACATTTTTCATAAAAATACTTACATTCATATTATTCTTATTAGCGAATTTCCCTATAGGGAAGTAGCTATTACCGTAGGTCTCATGGTAAGACCTAGACCCGGGACCGATTTACTTTTTCATTTTGATGTCCCCAGAGGCCAAAAACACCATTCGTTCAAATTTTTATATATCTATATATATATATATATATATATATATATATATATATGTGTCCATCCGCACGATAACTTGAGTAATTTTTGTCCGATTTTGATAAAATTTGGTTTGAAGGTGTAAGGCGGGATAAACTCGAACGAGTTCGCGAACCAGCATGATCGGACTATGGGAACGGGGGTTTACGGGGGGTTTTATGGGGTAAAAATAGGTTTTTCCCATTTTTGACCCAAAAAAAATAAAATTTTGCAAAATCTTTTCAAACCATTTTGTAGAGCTTAAAAAAACTAATAATTTAGTATATTGAAGTGTTACTATGCGCCTAATGGTTACGGAGAAAATTCCAAAAAAATGTAAATTTTAAATTCCCATGTTATTCTTATGGAGAATAAGTAAACTGTTGTAGTTTGCTTGTTTATGAACATATTTTGATCAAATTTGGAAAATGTTTTTATTTCTTACTAACTATTAACATTTTACAAAAAAAGTTTTACCCTCCCTGATGCAGCAAACCTAAGTACCTGTTAAAATAATTCTATTTAAATAGGAAATAAATGTTAAATTTTTAAGTAGACATTTTAGTGTAAATCCAATCAGACATATGGAAATTCGCTTAGTCTGCAGGTTTGCTGCGGCGGGGGTATTTATTATTATATTTAACATAGGACAATTAGTATAGCCATTGACTTTGAGAGGGAGAGGTGTTTATATGACACGACGTAATAATAATGTCGATGTAATCGAAGTGACGGTACAGTATCCAAGCAAGGCCCCACTAGAATCATCGCCGAATTTCAAAATAGGTAGGCCTATGGCCCATCGTTCTTCAACTATTTCGTTTTAAACGTTTGCTACCGTGTTATACCCGTCCTTTTAATTTATAACCCTAAATGTGGTTCAAAATTTGTCGAATCACCTCAAAGCTATATCACTATCACTACACATAAGCCAAACTCCTCACCTTGCGTCACGGCCCTCTAGTCGTCGTCCGCGCCGTGCTAACACTGCCAACTGCCACTGACACTGTACACCAGGTCCATGCCCCTCGGCCTTATTCCCAGGCCCGGGTCAGCCTATTACACGCTTGTTTTATCGAAAGTACGACTCTATTGACCGTCTATCCCGCGACGCTGCCTCGGATAACTGAGATAAACTGGGAAAAGGAGAACGGACCAGACAGTTTCTACTAGAAATTCTATATCTCAATCAGTGTGGAAAAGTGGAATGCAAGGCATGTAGGGAAAAGTGTAAGTGACGGCGGTTAATATTGAGTTACAATGATGAATATCTATTAAAATGATGTATTAAAATAAGATTGGTACATTGTACATACTTTAGTTTTTAAATGTTTTATTTTGTGAGTATTGATAGTGTTGTGAGGTAGTGATAAACACGCGTCTAAGACTATAACTGCTCCTTTCAATTTTTAGGCTATTTAATAGTTTTATTATTGAATGACGTTTTATGTCATAAATTTATTCCAACAAGCCGTACAGTACCTAGATCAAAATAAAGTATTTTGTAAACTGCATAAAATTAATTATCATCAATATGTTGTTCCTCTGTTTTATGTGCCTAAAGAAGCCAGAGAGGAGTCAATGATCATATTTCTGCATGTCTGTTGTAATCCCAACCAAGTGTGTTGGTAATTTACCTGCATATTCCAGGTCCAGGAAAAATAGAGGTCAAAATGTAACCCTTTTCTATTTCCTTCATGCACTTAATGTACGAGGAAATCTTTGGTTATTAGAGAAAAAGATTCTTTCTGCAAACAATCGCTGAAATGTTTGTTATAAACTGTTTATAAACATCAATAAAGATGTCATTGCCTCCTAGGTTCGCGGAACCATAGTAAACATCTCTCGCAACAGCGGAGACATAATCATTGTCACCCGCCGGACGAATACCGGTGGTATCTCCCTCGAAAGCGGAAACGGCGCAACGTGGACAAATTTCCGATGATTGGATCAAATCCCGTCCCAAGAAAATCCCGATTCAAATGTAATCCCGTCCCGATTATCTAAAATAATCGGGATTATTTGAAATTTCGGGACCCTACCATCACTACAATTATTAATAGTAAATGTCAACGAATTGCTATGATGCATCAGAATGTTTTTTATAAGGGCTGATGGTGATCGAGTCCAAAAACCATTATTCTCAAGATTGAACTGGTGAATGTAGAATTGAAGCCATAAAACCAATTTGAAACAGAAACACCCATTATCACGAACTATTCAAAACCAATTTCTGAATGCTTTTATGACCGTTCCATTTGACGATTTTTACCGACAATAGCACTTTACTTTAAACACTTAATGTCCATCAGGATTTTAAGTTTGTTGTGTCTCATTTTAGAAGAGTTAGGTCGTAGAAGTTGTTTCTAGAGGATATTTACTTGCATGTTTTAATAGTAGCATTGACTATTGGATTCTGAAGTTGCACATCAATGTCTAAGATAGTGGATTTTTGGTCAGTTGTTCCTCATTTAAAATTGTTATTGGTAATTCCTTACATCAATGGTATTAACTTCACCACTAATAAATAAATTTTGATCTTTTATACAAATTCCAAGAACTCTAAAAACTCAGTTTGGGTTAAAAAGAAGACTGTTTTTCAATGAGCCATTATTTTTATTTTGTCAGGTAAGGTTGTTAACTAACTTTTAAGTACTAAAAAATTAATAGTAGCCTATATTTCATCACAAGTGCGTAGAGTGACTCATTTTGGCCCGAGCTCAAGTTTCACGCCCGGAAAATGAGCGGGATTGAAAAGACACTTTTTGTCTGTGTGATGAAATATACTTTTGTCAAATATTGTAAGATTTTAACAAACTAAGTTAGAAAACTAAAATACATTTCATATAACCTCTCAAAACAACTTCCAGCTTGTTTTCAATTTTGCTAATGCAAATAAGCAGCTGTTTAATAAGTGATTCGATCATTTTTTCTGTAACAATTGTGTTACTGTAAGTTACATTATATTATCAACTAGCTGTGTACCCGTTCTACGCACGGGGATCTTATAATATTCAGTTGAAACCTTCTTATATAAAGAACAGCAGTTGGTTTGCATATTTTAAGATATGCTGGCCAAACTATTATACATAGCTTCATTTTATGTTGTTTTTTGTTGTTCCGGATCGGTATGACAATCAATAAAAGGTTAAATTACCTCTGTGTCTGCCGGTCGATCCTATAACGGTAGGCTTACTTTTATTTTTACTATCTGATCTCGTTTGCATGGCTCAATCACGTCCTGGTTGAAGTTCGTTCGCTACGCTCACTCACCTGTATGTTGGAGCTCGTTCGCTGCGCTCACTTTCCTTCAGGTTAGCTCGTTCGCTACGCTCACTTGCCTTCAGGTTAGCTCGTTCGCTACGCTCACTCGCCTCCAGGTTGCAAATTAGCTGTTGTCATAAATGTAAAAGAAATAATAGTGCTAGTGCTGCACCCTGTTGGTAATCCTTGTAACTTTAATGCTATTGAACATCACAGAACAGAACCAACTTGTTTAATTGAAACAGCTGTTAAGATTCAATAATTTCATTTCTCATAAGGTTAACATGGGCTTCCAGAAATTCCACGTCAAAAATCGACAAAAACTTGATTTTCAAGGGTTTACTGTTAAATATCTAACTGTCTCATATTCGATGAAATACGTCTAAAACCATCTCATATATGTATAGTATTTGGAAAATAAGTTTCAGGCGGGACAGTGCTATAGTTATTGAGGAGTAGTTGTAATAAAGTGCGTATTTTAGCGTTACCAAGAGAATGACAGATAGACAGACAGACAGACAGACAGACAGACAGACAGAAATTGAGATAAGGTTTGATTCGGTTTCTCTGACCTATGAAATGTAAAAATAACCAAAAAGTTCATTATTCTAAGCAATGTACAGACAAAACTCTAATTTTATTTATATAGATATGTCAATCTATTGACAAGAACCCAAAAATAAGCAATAACTAAATTAAATCAATCAAGTTTATAATGTGATTGCTTACAATCGAAGTTTACAACTGTTTTCAACAGATGACTTTTATTCCATAGGGAGTAAAAGAGCTACTTTAGGCCCCCAACGCATGTATTGAAAATTGCAATTTTCGCTGCAGTATAACAACAAATATTAAAAAATGGCTCTATTTATTTTATCTTATCTTGCAATGCAAGGGCAGGCAATGCCACAAAGCACATAGCGCACCCCCTTAGTTATTTTACTAAGAGACCTTAAATATCCAAGCACCTGATAAATGCCTGCAGTCTACCAATCAGTTCCTGTCAGAAAGGTGACTCCCTCTTACCAGATTGCCAAGGAGTTGTCCTTCTTACTTCAGAGAGCTCCAGAGAGCAGGCTTCACCTGTTTCCTATGACTTACCATATTTCTGTCATACAAACCCATACATTGCAGACGTTTTCTGAACTGCCCCTGTCCAATCAGTTATATATAGTTTGTCTAATTCTTTGTCTATCCAGCCTCTGAATGTCCAATGCAACCCCCCCCCCCCCCCCCCCCGGACATTCTGAGGTTTGATAGGCGTCGAAAAAATGTCCAAAAATTTAGCTTGGATAAATATTGTATATGCCTTTAACCCTAAAAAGAATTTCACCTTTCAATTGTATGTATGAGAATGAATTTATTAGAAGTATATAGTTGTAGTTGATATATTCTTGATTGATTTGTTGTAAAGAAATTGAACAGTAGCTTAGTTCGAAAATTGTCAAGAAAACTGGTTTTCTGTAAGATAAAACAGGCAACAAGGAAAAATAAAACATCGTCAAATGGTTGGATATACAAATATATTTACATCAAGTATTACAACATAATAGTTTAAGGTAGGCATGTTATTGAGCAATATTAACAAAGTAGTATAGTTTTATTTTTGGGATAACTTATTTAAAATACAGTTTCATATATAAATAGTATACTATGGTTTAAGGTGTGCTTAAATTTGGTTTTAGGTGATTATTTAAAAGTTATGTAGGTACAAATTGATAGGTTTTAGTTGTATATTCTATCACTCATTTTTTCAGTTTAAATACAATTTTAATTTAAGTTTTAGTAGCATAGAAGATTTTTTCCTGAAAAACTAACAACATGATAAAACACGGAAAATGATACTGGTTCCATCATGATCAAAAGGTATTGGAATTTTGAAAGCCATTAGTATTTTTAAAGAATTTGAAATAATTGTAAGTTTTGTAAATTTTCAAAGGCAATTGATTCCATTAGTTTGTAATAATTGAGATGAAACCAGGTATGGATAAAAGTTAAATCAGCTATTGTCTTCATTATTTTGGTTACATTTAATTACTTTAAATTAAAACCAGAATTGAACAGTAATGTTTTTAAATGGCAACAGTTACACTAATCAGTTAGAGAATTTTACCTACACTTTTAGTCTAACATCAGCGATAGGCATTTGTACTACCATTATTTTACTTTTTACCTAAAATTCGATACAGTATTTACAACAGTTTATGAGATTTGTCTTGTAGGCTAGTTGTTATATGATACAAATTATTAATTACATTAGTAACCATAAATAAATAAATCATTTGAAGTTAGCATCGAACCAGTATGTGATTAATGATAGCAATTTCATTTGAGAAACTTTGAAAAATTTCTATCACAATTGTGTCCTTTTCTGATATTTACGATTATATCTTTGGCTTCACCTAACTATAACTATTGTTACGTATATGTTTCTTAAAGCATGAAATACTTCACTCCATTTAGTGCCATCCTTAATCAAGTAAATCTTGTAATGATTCTCACATAAGAAAAATGTGCTCTGATCAGATGTAAAACTTGAATGGGTTTAAGAAAAACTTGTGATGCTTATGGTTTGTAATTTGTCTGGAGTAAAATCAGTCAATATCAACTATACATTATGTGAATTAAACATGCTGTAGGATACACTTAACTACACTTCTAAAAAACTCAAATACATTCCGATTTTACACTTCAATGATGACCTAAACTAAAAACATGTTTTTCAATATAGATGGTACTGCAATGTTAAAAATATTGAATTTTATGTTTTGAATATACATAGAATGACACCAAATGAGATGTGTCTAAGTTCTTACTACTATAACATTTACAAACATATGGCTATTTTGTATCTACATGTTTACAATAGTATGAGCGAGTTTAGATTTGGATTTAGAGGGCCCTTATTCACTTACATTGTTCTATTGTCTCTTTATATTAGAATTTAGCAGTTTTGAGTTGAAATTGTACTTTAGACTGTTATGTAGCTGTATGTTATTTACGTTTTGTGCAAAACTAACTGAACTAAAAAAATTCATTAATTTCTCAGTCAAACATAGTCATTGAGTCATGCTGTAAAAGGCACACTTGTTTCAATGGTGTTTAAAACCAAGTGGTTTACTAAACCTTAGAATTTTAATAGTGTTTAATAGATTTTTCAAATTAAATTTCCTTGTTTTCATTTCTGTTTACAAAAATCCAGTGTAAAATACTTTCTTAAGGTCAGGTACAGATCCGTGTCTGTATAGATCACCGGTATCTAGATAGCTGACATCAGCCTGGTGTAATGCTGCTACTAGGGAGTCCACGGACAAGACGGGGGCGAGCCGTCTAGGTGGGGGCGGAGTGGGGGGAGGGCCAGGGCGGCGAGACAGACGAGAGCGCCGTGGCGGAGGTCGCTGGGGCCGATACATCGGGCGGTGGTTGCTCTCAGTCTCTTCATCACTCTGGAAAAATATTACCAACAATTAACACATTTTTCATTTGAGCGATTTTGAGAGCCATTCAAGCTAACATTCGTATGGAATGGCTTGGTAATGCAATAAGTACTCAACCAGAATACACAATTTTAAACAGATGGTCTATTAAACAAAATATTTATGATAAAAAATTACAATATAGGCTACAGAATTTTATAAGCTTTTTTAAAACAAATTTTTGTCATACTGTAGCAAAAAAGGCCTTATTTAATTCATGCCTTGCGGGTAGCATTATTACTCTCTATGGAGTAAATTCGCTAAAAGAATCATTTTTAGTCTCTAGGGAGTAAAATCAGCTTCGATTATGGCAATCGTATCGATCAATTATTGTAATTATTTATTGATTGATTTATTAGGTAAGGTGTTAACCTATTGTTGACGATCACTCGACATATCGATGGTAATTATACTGTATATGTGTCTAGTAGATGTAGGAAATAGCATCAAACAAATTTTAAATACTTTGTTTATTGCCTAACAATGGTTTACAAGAACTCTTCCCCCGATCACAGATCAACAGTCTATCCGGGGGAATAATTCCATGTAATGTATTGTTCTATTATTGTACTGTTTAATTTTTAGAATAAAAGTATTTTGATTTGATTTAATTTGATTTGATATTACTGTAAAGAAATCGTAATAGACAAAATGAGCAAATTACTGAATCACTTACTTAACAGCTGCTTATTTATTTGCATTAGCAGAATTGAAAACAAGCTGGAAGTGGTTTTGAGAGGTTATCTTTACATACAAATGATTTTGTTTTCTAGCTTAGTTTGTTAATTATACTTATGCAATATGAAGAAAAATAAAGTTCACCACACGGGCAATAAGTGTCTTTTTAACCCTCGCTCATTTTCCTCGGGTCAAAAAAAGTCACTTAAGGCTCTAGTGATGAAATATACCCTATTACACAGGTTACCGACAGACCCCCACTTTAGACAGGGTGAATAAAAAGTCAAGACCCCCCCCTCTAATATTTTTCCAAGTAAATATACAGAGATATCATTTTGGTGGTAGTGCAATCTTAGCAGGCAGTTTCATTTTATGGTTTTTGAAGTTTTTGAGTGTCCCCCAAAAGGGGGGATTTGGGGGGTAACTCAAATATTTTAAATGTAAACCCCCTTTAAGTAACACCTCATTTTGAAGTGTTTACAAAAACTTAGAGAATGGTGAAAACTAGAGGTCGCTATCTCTTCTCTATCCAAAATGGTAGCCCGTCAAATGTTGTGGAAAATCAATGGTAATATTGGTTTGTAATGGTAATATTGGCTACCATTTTGGATAGAGAAGAGATAGCGAACTCTGGTTCTCATCATTCTTTAAGTTTTTGTAAACACTTCAAAATGAGGTGTCACTTGATGGGGGTTTGCATTGAAAAATTTTTAGTTGTCCCCCACATCCCGCAGGGGGACACTCAAATTTTTTAAATGTCCATTTAGTGACACTTCGTTTTGAAGTTTACAAAAGCTTAAAGAATGGTGAAAACCAGAGTTCGCTATCTCTTCTCTATCCAAAATGGTAGCCAATATTACCATTACGAACCAATTTTACCATTGATTTTCCACAACATTTGACGGGCTACCATTTTGGATAGAGAAGAGATAGCGACCTCTAGCTTCCACCATTCTCTAAGTTTTTGTAAACATTTCATAATGAGGTGCACTTGAAAGGGGTTTACATCTAAAATATTTGAGTTGCCCCCCAAATCCCCCTTTTGGGGGGACACTAAAAAATTTCAAAACCATAAAATGAAACTTCCTGCTAATATTGCACGACCACCAAAAGGATATCTCCGTATATTTACTTGGAAAAATATTAGAGGGGGGGGGGGGTCTTGACTTTTTATTCACCCTGTATATGGGCTGACTGGGCTATAAGCTCAGTAAGTCAAATTTATAGGGGAACCAAATTTCCAAAAATATAGAAAATACCATTTCCATTAGTTAAAAAAATACATAAAACACACAAAATTCAATCTGTATAAATTTTTTTTTTATCTGGAAAAGGGCCGCAGACACTCGGGCAGGTAGGTGTAGCCAAAGCTGTTTGAAGCACAGAGCGCTTTTCAACCTAAACTCTGGCCTGGTTACGGAAATATGAACATTAGGTTCTTAAGTGCACCCAGTGTTAATTTGGAACAAATGTGAGATTGTTCATCAAATTTGTTTCCATGCTCCATTTTCCATTTTGCTTTTAGCATTTTTAAGAAACCAGCTATCATTTTTTCCCTCTGACCATTAATACCCAAGGTAGTTATAATTAATTATTTGGCAGTACACACTCATGATACTGCAGGTTTCCCTTGATTTAAGTATATTAAACATTGTATCATGAACAACTAAACAGACTTGGCTCAACTCACCCCTTGTTGTGAGAGTATTCTATCAATACTGGAGCTCCTGGAGATTCTCCGCCTCACACTTGAACTCTTGAACCCCGAGTGTGTCTTGGGCTCCCTGGGAGTCTCTTGCTGGTAGAACTCAAAATCATCGTTAGCTGCTGTCGTAGCTGAGCAAGCGCTGCGGGAGGACAATGTCGCGTAGATCGGCTCCTCACACGTCTCCTCAAACTCTTCGTAAGAATCTTCCGAGTCCTGATTCTCCAGGAAGAGGGTTTCCCTCAATTGCTGAATGTTCTGAGGGAAGGAAGGTAGGTTGGTGTCGCGGAGTTCGGACGTATTGAGGCGTTGAGTGTAACACTGGACTTGCTCCTTCTTGTGGACTGGTACCTGGGAAATTCCAAATGTAATTTTAGCTTAACACATGTATTCCCAGGTGTCAGTAGACTATACTTACAGAGGAGTGTAATAGCTGGTATGGATCATGTTAATCAGAGTAAAGGGAAATTTTGTAGATATAGGTACTATAGTTATTGGATTTATATTACACACCATATAGAGTGCATATTTTTTTAAGAAGAGTGAAGTTTTATGGTGGATGAAATGGTAGATTTTTAATGACTAAGATCAGCTGGTTATCTAGCCAAAATAGCTAGCTCAAGGACAGCTGGGACCAGTTACGAACCATGAAAAAGTGACTGTCAAGATCAAAGTGAGGTAACCTAATTACTAGGCGAGCAATCATCCAATCAAGTGCATGTTGAATTCCCCTTGCATCGTTAAGGGCTACTACAAAGAGACCAATCGTCACATGGGGGTAGGGATTGAATTGAAAAGAAGTGGAAGAAGGAAAAAACACATATTTGGTGTCAGATTTGAATTCATTTGCTTGGTTGTGATTGGAGTTTGTTCAAGCCTGCAGTTTGCATGTCATGGCAGTTGGGCATGCCATGGGCCCAAGGTATGATTGCGCCCTATTCACCTACTTTATGGGGGAATTTTACCTCTTCCTTGCGCCCCCAAAAAACCTAAAACGTCTTTGTGCCGTTGTGCCCCATTTATTAAAGCAAGCCCTGAGCTCGTTGGTGAACTCAATTTTTGGGGAACCATTATACAGTAAAACTTACCTCTTTAAAAGGACTTAGAGGTGACTCAGTTTTCCTGTCACAGTTGATGTCTGCCACGATGATGTTGTTCCTCAGTTGCCCCCCGCCCATGTGTGGGGCTTCAGTGACTGATGGCGGGGGAGGGGTGGGGGGTCTGTATCTCTGGTTGACATGGTACGAGGGTAACGGTCCAGTTGTCCGCACTCCTGATAACATTTATCATAGTTTAAAAATTAGGGTGACTGTTGTGTACAATTTTTGATGATAGGTTATGTTTCATCGACGGGAATTAGTTTTGAGTTATGCATATGACCGGAATTAGTTTTGAGTGATGCATGACTTACACTTCAAGAGGTAATACGTAGACTAACCAACAAAAGTAGACTTCTCATTCCATTGTAAATTTTGAACCTCGTTTTTCGTGTCTAGTTCATGTACGGTGACACTGGGTGCTAGTGTCAATTTTGTTTCTATGTATTATTTATTTTAGGGTTAATTTCTTGAATTGTGCTTTACTGTTTGGTTATATAACTAGGGTACTATAGGGTATTATTGGTATACTAGGGAGTTATTGTTTATGATTAGATTGTATTATTTGGTCAAACGAAGTTTTAAATGACATTTTAGTGTTACTATCAAAAGGCGATGGACATTTTACATAATTTTGCAAATTCAAAGAAATTTGTTTTAAATTGTTTTAATTTGTTTTTAACATTTGACATATTTGCCATTTTTACCCGTTATATGGACCTCAAAATTATTTGTGCAGAGTCTATAGGTGAAACGTATAAAGCAAAGCAAAAAATTAACCAATTCTGTACATGATAGAACTCCACTGACAAATATTAAGCTTAAGCAGTGGCACCCATGGTGGAAAGAAAATACCCCCACCGCAGCAAACCTGCCGTCTAAGCGAATTTCCATTTGGCTGTATTGATTTTTAATTGATCTATTTAAATAACGAGTACCTAGGTTTGCTGCTACAAGGAAACTAATAAAGTGTGCGTTTTAAGTAAAATAATTATTGCTTAGTATAAAATGAATATATTTGCCAAGTTTGATCAAAAGATCCATAAACAAGCAAACTACAACATTTTACAATATTCTCCATAAGAATAACATGGGAATTTTAAACTTACCATTTTTTTTAGTTTTCTCCGTAACCAATAACCGTACAAAAACACTTTGATAAACTGAATTGTTTGTTTTTTTTAAGCTCTTTAAGAAGGTTTAGAGAAAAATTAGGAAATTTTGTGTTTTGAGGGTCAAAAGTGAGAAAAACCAATTTTTACCCCATAAAACCCTGTTCCCATGGTCCGATCATGCTGGATCGCGAACTCATTCTAGTTTATCCCGCATTACACCTTCAAACCAAATTTCATCAAAATCGGATACAAATTACTCAAGTTATCGTGTTCACGGACACATATATATATATATATACATATATATATATATATATATATATATATATATATATATATATATATATATATATATATACATATATAAAAATTTGAACGAATGGTGTTTTTGGCCTCTGGGGACATCAAAATGAAAAAGTAAATCGGTCCCGGGCCTAAGTCTTACCATGAGACCTACGGTAATAGCTACTTCCCTATAGGGAAATTCGCTAAAAACATAGGTGTGCTATTCCCGTCATATTCTGACGTCACTCGGATTTGCAAACAAAAGATCACCTAATTGTAACTGTCAAATTTGTATTTGTTTTGATTTGATTGTTATTGTTTTTATAATAATAAAAACAATAACAGCCAAATCAAAACAAATACATATACTAATTTGACAGTTACAATCAGGTGATCTTTTGTTTGCAATCTGAGTGACGTCAGAATATGACGGAATAGCACACCTATGTTTTTTCTTTTCACCATGAGTGGCACCAGCATCAGAACACAAATCCACAACATGATTGCTTCCTTGGTTCATAATCTGCCACGCCACCAACTGAGCAACTGACTTCCTCAATGTATGTGGAATGTGTGCATTTTGTATAAATGGTAAGCTATTGACTCATATTTTGGTTAAAATACACACCTAGGTGGCTTTCCTCCTATCTCAACTAATTGATAATTGATAATAATTTCCAACTGGACACAATTTTGTCATAATGATGAATAACATACTGATAATCATTTTAGAGTTGGAGTTTCCTACAAAACCAGAATAATTCCCTCTTAAGGAAATCAGAAATTGTCGATCATTGCAACATCTAAAGCACATACAAATATCACACAACAATTTGTAATAATATCTGACTTTAATGAGTTATTCAAAAGATACAAATTTGTAAGTGCTAAACTAACCTTTTGTTCTTCTGTAGTTATGAATAATGGGTATCCGTCCATCTAGGCTGGTGAAGAGAGATCCGTTGGTGATCGGGAAGCGCACTGTTTCCATCGGTCTTTGAGGCTCAAGCAAGCAGTTGTTGAAAGGTCGAAACTTCCCATGCATTCCTACAATTAGATATCTAATTATTACTCTGTTATTATTAAAATTGGTCCAAACCCAGGTCAGTAGACATCCTAACCTTGAACTTGAACGTGATAAAGTCCAAACTAATACAAAAGACAATAAGTTTGCAAATTACAACATCCTGAGAAATGTTCTATATATTAAAAAAAACATACCACGCTTAATAGGTACTAAATTATTTAAATGTCCAAAATACCACTGACAAAAGTTAAATTATGTTTTTTTTACTATAATAGGACTACAATATTTTAAATCAAACCAAACTGAAAGAGCATCTTGAGCCACCTTGTTTTACTAACATCCTAACTTTAGCATTATTAGACCCCATAAACTATAATAGAACTGGAGGTTACGTTAGCTTAGATTTATAAGACACAAAACACACCAGGATGTGTAATATAAGGTGAAGATGACTGAAGGATGAATGCTTAACAGACACTATATCAGAGATCAGGTGGTATTTTAGCCATGGTCCAAAATGTTCAAGGACCTATTTTTGAACTATCAAGAGGCTTTTGACTTTTCTCAGGACCAAAGTAGCCCCGGGACCAAACCATCGACCGTTTGATTACCAGGTGAGCTCTATACATTCGCTCAGCCCAGCTCTAGTGTGGAAAGCGGAAAGCTATACTTAGAGAAAACATAACTTTGTTGTGTCAACTTCACCTCAGTTGTATTACAACAGCTGTTGGGTTATTGTTGAAATGTTTTGTTTTGTTCAGTTATGATGTACAGTTTATTTTTCGTTTGTTAATAAAACGTTTGCAATATATTCTTTCTTAGTGGTGCATTATTCTATAAAATTACTATAACCTCAATGCCTAGCTAGAGGCTTGCTCAAATAATTTAAATATGTATATGGCATCTGTAGAGTTAGTCCAGGTAGTTTTGGCTACTTCTGTATTAAAGTCAACACTTTTTTCATACTGCTCCAACAATACCTTGTGGTGGTTTTGTCATGTCGGAAGGTCTGCGACGAGAGTATATGGCAGCAACACGACGTACAAACGCCTTGTCAGTCATGGCCAGGACTATAGGCAGCAGTACACCCTCTAGTAGTCCGGCCCACAGCGGGATGGAAGTGACTGGCCACTGGGCGGGGATCAGGTGTGGCGCGAAACTCTCAGCAATCGTCAAACCCTGGAACATTACAACAATATGTTGTTATACTGTTGAGCATAGTTTTAATATTAATAACTTCCTTACCAAAGGTGTGTTAGAGATTTCTTCTGTCTTTCTATGGGGGAGAAAGCAGACCACTGTTAAAGATGGTTATTAACTTAACGTAGTGAAACGCGGGAAAAGCCATTGATTGGGATTTCAACCTGGACATCGAGAAAGAAAAGGGAAGGAAGGAAGCTTTTATTTGTAGTCATGTAAAACAAAAAATACAACTGTTGTTATGGATGAATGTAGGCTGTTCTCTAGGTAGGTATGTAGAAGAAAAAGGGCAATTAGCTTAGCTCACTTGATTGAGAGCTTTGGAAATGTCCTCAACATGGTTCGTCCACGTAAACTGAACAACATTGGGTTATCATAGCAAATAAAATGGAAAAATGGAAAGCCCCAATGAAAACAAACCCTTTACCTACCCCAAGATGGATTTTCTTATTTTTTTGTGGTTAGTCAGCCTATAGTACTGTATAGTGGTAGGATTCTGTAAAGGAGACTCCCAAATACAAAAAAATAAGTAGCCAATGTGTTCCAATAAAAAACACTTCTTTAACATAGAATAATCAACTAAACTCGATGTGTCACTGTGACCAATGTAGAATCTTGCCAAATTGAATATAAATATTTCTTTGTTTTGTAGTTTTAATAAAACTAGAGGTCGTCCAGTGGTCGAAAACTCGACCAAAAATATGCAATGTGCAGACTTCTCTATTTTCAACCCACGTTGTAAATAAAACATGTGATAGGGATTTCTTTTGAAAGTGTCTTGAAAAAAGCATTTCGTATCAAGGGCTGTAAAACAAATTTACCTATTGTGGAAACATGATGTGAATGCCGTCGTATCACGTTGTGTGGCTTCGGACCAAAAGTGTTTCCCATAGCAAAATCTGCATTCTAAGTTCATAAGTCCAATGGCTGAGCCACAAAACTCCCGAGGCACTTCTCTACACAAATTTAAAACTACTGTATCTATCAAATTCGGTATAATAACTAAATCTTATTGATTGACTCTCATATTATAGAGACGAATACGGTTTCTTCTTTCTACCCGGCCAGAATCGCCGAAGAGGCATTTCAGAATTCACTTGAAAGTCACTCAAGTTTATAATAAACAAATACAGTAAAATCACCGAAATTTCACTAAACAAAAAGTAAGTATATAATAATCGGACATAACACACAACACACAATCAGTGCAAAATCAGACTCACCACCACTGAGAACTAAATTTGTTTATGTTATTATTTTGATTTTATATTTTAGATGATGATTGCTTTACAGCTGGTGAAAATACCACAAAACTAAATACTATTAATGTACACACACAAACGTGGTTTGCAGTGCATTGATCATACAGTACACATTTTATAAGTATACATGTGATTGGAATTTCTTTAATTTGTTTTGATTTTCTGTTTATATTGCGTTGTTATTTCGTTACCAGCATGGCAACCCATAAGACCAATGTTAATTTTTTGATTTTTCAAATTAATTTGATGTGCTTATTTTTGAGATTATTTTAATTTATAAAGGGATTCTGCACATCTACAGGAAAATATTTTTCTAACAGTATGCGTAGATTTTCTCTGTAATAAACGTGAGCTGAGAAAAAAGGTTTTAAAGAAACATGCTTGCCTATTAATGTATAGATTTACTTAAATAATTTTTACTTTACAGTTTAGCTCAAACTAAACAAACGAAATATGCTGTTGGTAGAGGGACACTCATCACCTACTTTTGCGATTCATTATAAAACCTACACGTGCATATTAAAGGCCAACCTTAAGCTATTAAAATTCCCTAATATTCAAATCAGATATAACGGCACTTTCCAGTCCACCTGGAGTTCTAAAATTAGAGTTAACAGAGTGAAGGTCGATGTTCGAAGGCGGCTGGAGGCAGATGAAATGCAAAAGCCTATCATCAATTTGCTCTTAACGGTAGCATTTGGAAACTAGCCTCTATAATTTTCTATGCATCAACTTATCTAGACAACTATTGGATGGCTCAATCTTAAATCTTAAGTATGGGATCTAAGAAAACTATTCATAACAGGATAGGATTTTCACATCGATAAACTTCTTCCGGTTGTAACACCTTTTTAACACTACAAGCTGTAATGTATAAGTAGTTGTGACCATCCTGTAAAATTCAACATTGACCTTTTATTTCACTATAATCGTAAATTTTACTCTAAATAAAAAGCGCGATAAAACCAACGATATTTCTGAGATTCATGGTGTTCATCGTGCGTTGCCCGCTGTCGACAAATGTTTCTTATTTATGGAAGGGTTGCTTTGATGTTTGGTTATAATTATAATCCATAATCCTATAAAGGACAGGCATGTATCCTTAGATCCTTCATTTGGTTAAACTAGTTTCAAACTAAGACCAATACCAAGAAACAAAATTATTGTAAACAACAACGCATCCCTCCATAAATTAGACTGAGCTAGTTGTTACATAGTCATGGTAAATGAGGGATTAAGTTTGTTATAATACACAGTGTCCCAAAAAAAAAACTGAACAATTTTAAATTGTTATATAATACGTCCAGGCATACCTAGTCTACTTTGAAGGTGATCATATGATAACTGAGCTCATGAAGTTTTGTTCAATATCAATTGTAACTATCAGCTGATTCATTGTTGTCGCTTGAATCTTTAAATTTAAAAACATTGTCCTGTCATTAAGCAGGCACCATGAACGCACGAGAGAAAGCGCAATGCGTTGAGTGGTACATTCTAAGTAAGTCAGATACTGCAGTGAAAAGAACATTTAGAAGACGCTATGGTCGACGTCCTCCATAACGGAACAGCATTCGAGCCTGGTATGACAAATTTATGTTAACTGGAAGCTTACAACATTTAAAAGGTAAGGGTAGGCCGAAAATCCAAAATTAATTGATTAAAAACGTGCAACAATTATTTCTTCACGACCCTCAAAAGTCTGTTCGCTGTGCAGCATGTGAGTTAAATTTGTCAAAATTATAAGTTTATAAGACAGAAGTTTCCGATGTCCGAGAATTGAGACAAAGAATAAATGCAGCCTTTACTAACATTACTGACGAAATGCGCCATAGAGTGTGAGCTGAATTGGACAGCTGTATTGACTATCTTTTTGCCAACAAAGGCAACCATGTTGAAAATCATTAACACATATGATATCAAACAAAACTTGAGAATATTTGTGTCAGTTAAAATGTAATTAATTTATCGTGTGATTGTTAATAAACTTTTTATAAGTAAATAAAATTGTTCAGTTTTTTTTTGGGACACGGTGTACAATGTTTGGGGAGCACTTATGGAATCTACATCAAAAATATGCAAAAGGGACTGGATCTTGAACTGTATGTTCAGAAATAGATCGAAACTACAAATGCTAAAGAGATTATCGCTTGACAGAGCTTTTGACTAAGAGTAAATTTATGAACTTAATTCATTAGTAGTTCTGGTAATGGCGAATCATGGACTATTTTCCCTTCACTATATAAAATGAAGAATCACGTTGTAGGCCTGCGGTAGAGAATCGCTCACGTCTAGGTTGTACAGCGATAACACGGTTTGGTTCTGACCGCTAACTTTCTACCGTTCTATTAACTATCAGTATCAGTTGACCAACTCCTTTGACACATTTCCCGTGTTTTGCAACTTTCAGTTTTACGTGTAGGAATGTCAAGAGGTCGACGCGAAAAATTGTTTTCCTTTATTGCATACCTTAGTCACAATGTTAAGTATGAAAATAATCATATTTCGTTTATTACGGTATGTCAGAATAAAGTGTTGGGAACGTTCATACCTAAAATTTTTTCCGTAAATCTACACACTTTAAGCTTTATTCTGATCTGCCATATGCCTATATTTTTATTTGGTTGATGGCCTTAAACGATGACCACAAATTTGACTGTATCACTTAAATACAATAGATGAATGTATGTAAATAAATAAAATATTTATTTAGTGTTTACCGCGCTATATTTTTTATTACAAAATCACAAACTCTTTTAAATGGTTATTTTTTGTTCATATGCCACATGCATATATTGTAAATAATAATATAAATCATTCTTGAATACGAGACGCTAACCACTAGTCTAGCACATCCAATTTATTATATTAATCATTAAAGAACTCTAAAAATTGTTAAAGAATCTATTTTTAATCAGTTTTCTTAAAAAGCCTTAAGATAATTGGCTTTTTTGCAAAAAGCCTTTTGCAACACAGTTGCATGAGTAAAACATCCGTGAACAGACTGCGACGAACTTAATTTGGACGGAGTAAAAGGGCTTTGACTTTTTAAGAAAACAGATTTAAAATATTTAATTACAGAATAAAGCACATTTTGTTGAACTTATATTCAAGCAATTTTATGTTTATATGTTAAAAATACGAAAACTGTGGACGAGGACTGGGTAATACAGTGCTGAAACATCTCCTACACGTTTCTGACCGCGTCAGAGTCAGAGATGTTCTCGCAGTTCCGATCAACTTTCACCATTAGATCGCTGTGTTTTTAATCTCTTGTCAGTAGAAACTATTCTAGCAAGTAGCATCTTAGTCAGAACCTAGCGACGAACGGTTCTGCATGGAATCACGCAAGAGTTGAAGATGATATAGTTTGTGGCCAATCAACAACCTTGAAAGTGACACAATACTTGTGAATGTTGCAATCTAATATATAAAATTCTCGTGTCACAGTGTTTGTCTGCAAACTCCTCCGGAACGACTTCACCGATCGTTTGAAATTTGGTGTGTAAATTCTGTAGGTATGCGAATCGGACGTAAACTATTTCCCGTTTCGAAATTCTTAAAAGGGCTCCGCCCCAGTGGCTCTGGAGTTTCCCATGCTAACCTTATGAGAAATGGAATTAATGAATCTTAACAGCTGTTTCAATTAAACAAGTTGGTTCTGTTCTATGATGTTCAATAGCATTAAAGTTACAAGGATTACCAACAGGGTGCAGCACT